ATTTTGACACTTCATTGCAATTTGCAGCAAAAAGAAAAAAAAAAAGGAGGAAAAAAACAAGCGTAAAATAGCAGATGGAGGGATGGAAATTTCCATTTTTTGTAGACAGAGTAGTTACAAGACTCACCAGTTCACTCGAGGACGTGTTATTTGCAGCTCGGAGATCAGTCAGTTTGTACTTTGGTGCCCGAACCTGCAATTAAGGGAATGAGATGACTGGCAAGGTTTGGGGGGGTGGGATGGCCTCTCTTATCACGCTGCTGAAAACCACGTGGTGGGGATTACTCTGCACTCGGAGTGTGGGGGCTACACCGGGATTACAACCTTTAGTATGGGGGGATTATCACCCTGTGAGTGATGTGAAACCATCTGAGGGTGGTCAGGGCACAGGGATGGCTCTGGATGGATCCGATTTGCCAGGGAATCGTGATTCTTCCTCATCAAGAAGACAAATAAAATATTGATGGTTGTCTCTAACAGAGGGAAATCACCTGGAAATAAAGCTGCTGTGAACGGGGAGAAGGGATGAGCTGGGAAGGGAGAAGGGAGAGGTGTTGGGAAAGGAAGGGTTGGAGTGGGAACAAAGGAGTGAGGATGGTTTTTAGGATGCACATGGAGAATTTAGGACTTGCTGGGCTGGGTGGCAGCTCTGGCACCAGCCCTGTGTGTGCCCTTCACAAAAGTAATTAAAAAAAGAAAATCATCCTTTTCCCTGATTCTTCCCATCTTGCTTCCCAGAGGAGTGACCAGTGCACAGGGATGGCTCTGGATGGATTGATTTCCTAGGGAATCATGATTCTTCCTCATCAAGAAGCCAAATAAAAATAGTGCAGGCAGAGGGAAATCACTTGGAAAGAAAGCTGCTGTGAACAGGGAGAAGGGATGAGCTGGGATGTTGGGAAGGGAAGGACTGGAGCAGGAGCAAAGGAGCTGAGGACAGTTTTTAGGATGCACATGGAGAATTTAGGACTTGCTGGGCTGGGTGGCAGCTCTGGCACCAGCCCTGTGTGTGCCCTTCACAAAGGTAATGAAACAAAATCATCCTTTTCCCTGATTCTTCCCATCTTGCTTCCCAGAGGAGTGGGGGGGAATTGATGGGACAGTAACAGGGAAGCTGTGAAGTGCAGCTGAGAAATGTGAGGAAAGGGGGACGAATGAAAAGCAAACACACACAAACAAATCCCCCTTTCCCTACACGGCTCTGGAATGCTGGGATAACTCTGAGAGGTGAATGCTGTGCTCTCAGCTCCCCTGGAACACAAATCCTCATCCAGGGAAAAGCATTCCTGGCTAAACTGTGCTGAGAAAGCAGCTTCAGGCCCAGCTCCCCAACCTGCTGACCCAGGATAGGGCCTTTCTGCCCCGAAATCTTGGCCGATTTGCTCCTTCCTCCTTGCTGGAATTGTTTCCCTGGCAATTCTTTCCAGCCTTGTGTCATTTGGGAATTAAATGAATGTTGTGGACACTCCCCCTGTGGGACCATTGGCCAAGATGTTTGTTAGGGTGACTGGATGGTTGGACAGGGCTTGGAGCAACCTGGGATTGCTGTGGAAAATTCCCTGCCTGTGGGTGGAACGAGATGGGCTTTAAGGTCCTTTCCAACCCAAACCATTCTGGGATTCTGGGATTCCATGGGTTTGGATGTTGTTTCCTTCTCTCCCCTTGTTCACCTGAATGTTGTTCAGAGTCAAACATCGTGGATGTCCAGCTGACAGAGTCTCCTGGCAGCAGCACCTGGTCCTGCTGCAATCAGAGATGGTTCAGTGCTGCTCCCAGGGGGAACATGTTTGTGTGGAGATCTCCCTGTTCCCAGGAGCTGGAGAACCTGAGCCATGGAGAAGAGCCCTCGGGGCCCAGCCTGGCCTCTTTGGGAAGAAATGTTTCCAGAGGTTCAGGCCAGTGCCATCACCACCAAAAAGGGCCATTTTCTCCTCTCTGACATTTCTAATTTCTCTTCGTTTCCCCTTTTACCCTCTAATGTATTTCTGTGTCAACTGCTGATGTTTGGGAGTAAAAGAAGATGCTACACAGTGGAAAGGGGAATAAACATCAGCATTTCTGACACCCCAGGGGGGAGGGAATCCATGTGCTTGGTTTCCTTTTGCCATCCAGGCTGGGCAAGGGGAAAGGCAGCTCTTTGACACCCACTCCCCTTATTATCTTTACTCTTCCTTTTGAAGACAAAACAGGGCTCTGCTTCTCTTGAACAGGGCAAAACCTCCAGGTTCCAGCTGGAATGACAGAGGTCTCACAGGTTCTCCCGAGCCCCAGAACTGTCTTTGTTGAGAGATTTCCTCATGGACCACATCCACTCCCAGTTTGGAGCCGGGAGCATCAGTTGCCATGGAGACTTCTTTGGGAAAGTCATCTGGGGAAAGCACTGACGTATTTTTAGCTTTGGGTAATGAAGTTGAACAGCTGGAGGTGAAGGTGAGGGCCAGCCAGGTGCCACAGGTTCATGGGCTGGTGGCTGGGACCCCACCAGTGCTGCTGGGCTGGGATTGGGAAGGATCCTCAGGGCTGTGGCTCCACCAGGACAACGGAGGAGAAAGAATCACCCCAAAGAAAAGCTCCTAAGGAGGTGTTGTTACATGGGAAGATAAAGAGGAGGCACTGGCTGAGGTCAGAGCTGCTCATGTACAGTGTGTTCAGCCTATAAATAGCTCCCAATCTACCTCTGCACAAGTGGTATTTTATTTATAGAGTGATGAGGGGACAAAAAGCTCCATTTGGTGTCAGGAGTTGATTTGGGAAGGTGGTTCAGGCTTGGTCAACAGTTCAGGTCTCTGAGAGGGGCAGAGCAGGACCCCAAACATGTGGGGTTTTCTCCTTGGACTGAGGCTCAAAGGCTGCAGTGCTGTTAATGCACCCTCTGGAATCAGGGAGGGCACTCCAGGTGCTGCCATTCAGGTATCCCACAGCAAATAGGATTTAACCATGGCCCTTGGATCAGCCTAACTCACATGGAAACCCAGATTTTACTCTCTAAGACACTCTCTGGGTTCCCCAAGATATATTTGGTTCTTTCGCCTTCAGCTGTCAAAAGTTGATTTGAAAATTAATTGATTTTGGTGTAATATTTACTGCACTTTAGCTTTCAGCACAGCACAGGGGAATAGATCTCCCTACAGCTGGCAGTGTCTGATGGGATTTGTTCCTGCTCCAAAGGCTCTCCACATTCCATGCCAACCCTTCCAGCTTTGAGCAGCCCCATCACCTTTTCCTGCCCAGCTCCCACCGGCTTGGGAAGACAGAGGGAAGAATTTCAGCTTAAAGAAGCCACAGTTGGTGCAAAACTGAACCCAAAGTGGAGAGATTATAGATGTGGCCTGATATTCCTTGGAATCAAAAGGATCTTCCCTTTTTTTTGCACCAGCTGGGTTAAAAATGGGCCATCTCTCCTTGAGATAACCCAGCTGGGGGGAGGGTTAAGCAGCAGGTCCTGGAAGTGCCCTGGCCCATCCCCAGGGAATTATTGCTGGCAGAATAATTCCACAGAGCAGGTTGGAGGTGTCAGGAGAGGTGGTGAACCTGGATGGGAGGTGATTTAGGAACAGCCTTTAAATAAATACCCTGTTAGCAAAGACATCACCAGAACGTTTCCTGATGGGCTGTGATGCTCCTGACTTTCTCCCAGGAGGACTGAGGACCATCCAAAGCTTTCACTGCAGGGTCTGGTGTCCCCTGACCCCAGGGGAGGTGACATTCTGACAGGGAATGTTTCCTTGTCTGAGGCTTAAAGCCTGAACTACCCAGGGTGGGCCAAACATTTTCCATTCTCTATTTCTTGAGAGAAAATAGAAAAATTATTAATTAGGGTTTTTTCCCCCACAGGAAAAACCTGCTGAGTTTTCCCTCCCACTTCAGTGAAATGCTTTCACCTGAAGATTAAACTCCTCTGAGCAGAGTTAGGTCCCAGTGTGCTGATTTTTCCTATAAAACATGATAAAGCATCCCATGATTTCCTCCCCAGGCATGGGGCAATCAGCACCTCTTTTCCTCTCCATTCCCAATCAAACCCTTTCAAGGCACAGGCTCCCAGCTGCCTGGAAGGTTCAAACTTCTCTGTCTGGCATTTGCAACAGTCAGATTTGGGCAGCTTTGGGGCTGGGGCTGCAAGTTGAGAGGTCTGTGAGGAGCAGGAAAGGTGAAGAGACCTCGAGGTGGTGGATTATGGAGTCAGAGAATATCCTGAGCTGGAAGGGACCCATCCAGTCCAACTCCTGGCCCTGCACAGGACCCCCCAAAATCCCACTGTGTCCCTGAGAGCGTTGTCCAAATGCTCCTTGAGCTCTGGCAGACCCCAATGAGTCTCCACTCCCAGGAGTGGAGAGGGGCTGTTAAAGGCTGGAGGGGGATTTAACACAATGAAAAAGCAAAACCAAGTCAGGTGTCAGAAGCTGAGCCAGGCTGGGGACGTGGGATGGAAGTGATTCCTTTGGAGCCGTAGGATTTGGAGTCATCTGAGGCTGTTTATTGCTGTAAAACATATAAATCAGAGCAAAGTGAGACGGGAATTGCTCAGGGGGACAAGGGACAGGACAAGAGGGAACAACCTCAAGTTGTGTCAGGGGAGGGTCAGGTTGGATCTTGGGAAAATGTCTTCACTGAAAAGGTGGTCAGGCCCTGGCCCAGCTGCCCAGGGCAGTGGTGGTGTCCCCATCCCTGGAGGGGTTTAACAGCTCTGTGGATGTGGCACTTGGGGATGTGGGTTAGGGGTGGTTTGATGGTTGGACTTGATGGTCTTGGAGGGCTTTTCCAAACTAAATGACTCAGTGGGTCTCTGCTATCCCCTCTGCTCTCCGAGGTGCACCCACGATGCACACACAGAGGTGTCTCTGTGTTAACAAATCACAATTACACTGCTCAAAATAACAAAATACACACCAGTAATGCTCTAAAAGGCAATCCAAGCTGCTTCTGCCCTCACCATTTGCTGACACGTTGCCCGAGGACTCCTCCACCATAACAACTCCTCCCTTCTTCCTTGCCCTTCACAGAAATCCGGGAGGCTTTCCGAGTGCTGGACAGGGATGGGAATGGCTTCATCTCCAAGCAGGAGCTGGGCATGGCGATGCGCTCGCTGGGGTACATGCCCAGTGAGGTGGAGCTGGCCATCATCATGCAGCGCCTGGACATGGATGGTGAGTCCTGCTCTGCTCCTGGGGGACGGGGGGGATTTCCCAGCGCTCGTGGATGGGGCTCAAATAATTTGTGGTCGCCAAGGAAGGCCTGGAGAGGAAGCTGGAGAACTTTTGCTTCCGCCACAGCCAACTCTGAGATGCCAACCTGCCTCTCAAAGCAACCCATGGGAGGGAGCTGAAGTGTCTTCATGTGGCAGCTGGGACATCTGGGTGCAGACAGAGCAGGTCGTGCAACCTTTCTCTGCAAAGTTCACGGATCCCCAACAATCCCACCCTGTCCCTGAGAACGTTGTCCAAACCCTCCCTGAGCTCTGGCAGCCTTGGGGCTGTGCCCACTGCCCTGGGGAGCCTGGGCAGTGCCCAACCAGCCTCTGGGGGAAGAACCTTTGGCTGAGATCCAACCTGAGCCTGCCCTGACACAGCTCCAGCCATTCCCTGGCTGCTGTCCCTGCCCACAGGGAGCAGAGGTCGGAGCTGCCCCTCGTGAAGAAGCTGCAGACCCCGACGAGTCCTCACTCATACAAGGGGCTGTTAAAGGCTGGAGGGGGATTTAACACAACTAAAAATCAACCCAAAGTCAGATGGGCCAGGCTGAGGATGACTGATGGAAGTAATTCCTTTGCTGCCATCACCCCCAAGGAATATCCCACAGGGATCACTGAAGGCCAATTCCTGGCCCTGCCCAGGACACCTCAGGAATCCCAGTTGCAAACAGTCTTTTGCAAGGCTGTTGTCACCTTTCTCTTTGCATTCCCGGGCATCTTCTGACCCAGGGAGATGATCTGAGTGCCCAAGCAGGCAGAGCTGCCCAGTCCTGTGGCTCCAAGTGAAAGATTCTGTGGGTGGGAGCTGCTCCCCGTGGTAATGAAGTGTTGATGGGCCTAAGTGAGAAGTTTTGAGGGGTGGAATAATTTGGAGCAAAGTCCTGCTGTGAGAGCTCATCAAACAATTACTGAGTGGTAATAAAAGAAACAGAACCCACCATTAACAGGGAGAGGGAAATGCAGCATCAGGATGCTGGAGCCAGGGAAGACTTTTTAACAATCAGAGCTGATCACAACGAGCAGAATGTCTTTAAAATGCCCTTGGTCAGAGCAGGAAGGGAGACACAAAAGTGTGCAGGGATGCTGGGATGCAGCTCCAAACTTCTCCCACCCTTCCAAAGGGAGCTGCAACGGGGTGGAAACAGTGAAATGATGCCAAAACAGAGTCCTGAAAGCAGCCCTGGTGTGGAGGGGGATCCTTGGAGAGCCAGTGAGACACCACAATCCTTGAGGAGAATGTGGAGAGCAGAGAGCAGGGCAGGTGGGGCGATCCCTGGGGATCCCTGGATACCCCTGAGCTGCACAGGAAAACCGTGTTCAGCAGGGCAGGGAAGCAGGGGAGGGGCTCTCAGCCTGTGCAGGGTGTTCAGCATCTCCCCCAGACAGGCACAGAAACCCTGGCAGAGAGAGAAGATCAGCTGTGGAAATGATCTCATTCCTAAAAGAACAGGGGAAGAAAGAATCCATCACTTTTAAAAGCATTTTCTCCCAAAGTTATTGATTGTCCCTCGCTCTGTGCTGGCCTTTCCTGGCAGAGCAGGGCATGTCTCCTCAGGTTTTGCAAAGCCCAGACTCAGCCTGGTGCCAATTCCTGGGGTCTTTTACCGAAACTCGGAGCGTTTTTGGAAAAAAGAGCTCTGGGGACTTGGCTCCCGGGTTTGATCCATCTCCAGTTATTCCCCGACTCTTGGTCTCCTGGACTTGAGGCTTTGGCACTGTTTTGTACACACTCCTGGCGTGCAGGGACCTGTAATGTGAGAGGTGGAGTCCAAACCTGCAGCAATGGAAGGTGTTTAATCCCCTGCTGGAGACTTTTCAGGAAGTGTTTTCTGCAGAGATGGGGTTGATCCTCCACCTCCTCCACCTCCTCCAGCTCAGCAGTTCCAGCAGCTCCAATCTGGGTGTGCTGGGGGAGGTTATTGCTCTCCTGTCTCCTCTGCCTGTCGTGGCAGTGTCTGAGCAGAGGGTTTGGGGCTGCACTGATGTGAAGGTCAAGCGCATTAAAAAGAACCAGGGGAATGGGAAATTCCTGAGGCACTGAGCAAAGAGGGGAATATTCAGTGAAAGATTTACCTTGCCTGCAAATTGTATTATTGCTCTACAGCTTGAATTAATATTACATGGCTTATGGCTACTTTTGCTCTGATGGATTATCTTGATTTTTTTTCTGGGACTTAGCTTGAAATATGGAGTGAGAAGGAGGAATAGCTTCCTCCTCCCTCTCCCACTGTGGTCAGCATCATTCAGTAGCAGGGCTTGATCCCAGTGAGCTCCCAGGGGTGTTGGTTGTGCCTGGCACTCCCAGGGACAACCTGCCCCTCCTTCCCAAATACTCCAGTTGGGGTTTTCCTGTTGGGGTTTTCCTGTTGGGCTTGAGGGTTGCCAGATTTTTGCAGGGCTTTGGCTCAGCATCAGGTGGATGGGAAGCTCAGATGGATGAAAGGTCACACTCAAGGAGGGTCAGGAAAGCTGGGGGGGTTCAAAGAACCTCCCTCACCTCCCCTGGCACCTGCCATGAATTATGATGTGACAGAGGGTAATGTGGCCAGACATCCATTCCCCCCCAGAACTGCTGCCAGGGTGTGCTAATAATGAGGTAATAAAATTGGCAGGGTTTGAGATTTAATCTGAACCAGCCTGAGCAGACCCAGAACTTTCAGTGCAAACAGAGTTTTGAGTCCCTCAGGATCGTGGGGGGGGGGTTGCAGGATGGCAGAGGGGATGGATCTGCCACGGCTGGTTTGACTGGTGGGCTTCAAAGTGAGCAGCCAGAGCTGCTCCCAGTTTGGTTTTCCTTGCAAACCTTATTTTCTGTAGGGAAACAGAGGGAGGCTCAGCCCTGTAAAACCCTTTTTTTTCTGTGGGGATACAGGGGGAGGCTGAGCCCTGTGTGGGTGAGGCTGAGGAGATGTTGGTGCTGTGGGATTGACAGGTTGGACACGGAGTGTTTGAAGAGGAGCAAATGCTGGAGTGGGGCTGTAGCTGAGCATGAACTGGGCTGACAAGAGCATTTCACACCTGGGTGTCACCTCCTGCCACAAAGCTCTTGCCCAGCTCAGTGAAGAGGCTGAGGGGAGACCTCAGTGCAGTTCCACCTTCCTGGGCAGGGGCAGAGGAGGGGCAGGGACTGAGCTCTGCTCTGGGGGGACCAGGGACAGCAGCCAGGGAATGGCTGGAGCTGTGTCAGGGCAGGCTCAGGTTGGATCTCAGGCAAAGGTTCTTCCCCCAGAGGCTGGTTGGGCACTGCCCAGGCTCCCCAGGGCAGTGGGCACAGCCCCAAGGCTGCCAGAGCTCAGGGAGGGTTTGGCTGATCCTCTGGGGCACAGGGGGTGACTCTTGGGGCTGGGCAGGGCTGAGGGTTGGACTCCAGGATCCTTGAGGGTCCTTCCCAGCTGAGCACATTCTGTCAGTCTGTGATAAAACAGGATTAACTCTGGAGGTGCCCAAGGACAGCAGCTCCCGGTGCCACCCTGTGCTCAGTGACACCCTCAGAGCCTCCCCAGCAGAGCAGAAATGAAAGGGGCTTTCCATAATTCATCACACTTGAAGGCAAAATGGAGTTAGTTAGAAAACACTGCTTGAAATAAAGCACAATTGGCCATGGCACAGCTTGGATTTTGGCCAGGAGGTGTCAGATCACCTCTGATGTCTCCACAGCTCCCAGGTGCTGCCCCCAGCCCTCCCTCAGAGAGGCCATGCCAGCAGCCCCTTGGTTTGCCCACAGAGAACTTCAGCCACTCTCTGAATTCTCTGCTTTGCTGAATGTTCTGATTTCCAGGGAATATCTAATTCTTCCAAATCCTCAGCAAAGGCAGGGGAGCACCACTGCATTCCCTAAAAACACCTTCTCCATCTTTCCTTTCAAGTCCCTTTGCTTGGAGTTCAAGCAGCATTTGGACAACACTCCCAGGCACAGGGTGGGATTGTTGGGGTGTCTGTGCAGGGCCAGGAGTTGGACTGGATGGTCCTTGTGGGACCCTTCCCACTTAGGATATTCCATGATTTGGCAAGGTGTGCTTCCCCCAGGTGAACAGGGGCACAGCTGCCACGGGGGGAAAGGAGAGTTGACATAAAAAGAGGAATGAGGGAGAAAAATGAGAATCTCCTTGGAAGATTTCAAGGTCTCCGGAGAAATCTTATAAATCATCAGAATTCTTACAAATCATCAGAAACCCCCTTTGACGAACCACCGAGAGATGCCACAGTGGAAAATACCAAAAAAGAACAGAAGGAAAAGGGATTTTCAGCGCAAAAATGTTCCTTTTTTAGGAAGGGAAGTGAGGAATGGTGGTTCCATCACGTGCCAGGGCAAGAGATTTCCATTAGGCCAAAGCTTTGCTTACATCTTGCTGGATCCCTGCAGAAGGTGGTTGGAGCCCCTGGGCATCTCTCCAGGGTGCTGGGCCTTGGAGGGACACTTTGTTTGCTTTTGGTCTGCAACTAGGTCAAATCTTACCTTTCTCTCCTTGATTTGCTTTATTCTTAGCCATAATTATGTACTGCATGAACATAAACGTTGCAGGCTTGGAGAGGTGGGGATGTTTCTGTCTGCAATCTGGAGACTGACCTGGAGTGTTCTGCCAGGAGGGGGGAATGTAAAATACTCAATCTATATTTCCGTGCTTGGAAAAAAAAGGAATTATTTGTAAATTCTTCCAATTGGCAGTAATGCTAATAAAAATGCAGAGAAATGGCACATTAAATGTGTTGCCTTATCTGGGGTGCCTCCACTTTAAGCAGAGCTTTTGCAATAAAATAGATGAATGTGTGATTTAAGTGTCAAACTCGTTCGTTACAACATGAGACACTTTTATCTGAGGAATAAAATAAGCACTCCATGTACTAATTAGAGGAGCAGCTGCTTTTCAGAACCCTGGAAAAATAACTTCAGGCTTCAAGAGGGGGGAAAGAAAAAACACCCACCCCAGTGTATCAAATTGTTGTAGTACAAATAGG